CAAGGAAGCTTCCATATAGTGGGTAAAAGCAGTCATGAGAGGCAGCTAGAACAGGTAGGGGGTTCATTTAAAGTAGAATCTTGATAGGGTAATGACATTTACCTTTATCAATTTCACTTTAAGGAAATTGATTGCAATAACACATGCAAATAATACATTAAAAGCATATAAAATTTATTCATTAATTTGTCCATTCATTTATCCATTCATGCAATGGTTCAATTCTGCTATCATTTGTTCGTTCACTTCTTTTCTCAGGCAGCACAGCCCAATTCGGTCCCTCACTCCCATTCCATTAAGTTACCATCAATGAAATGATTCCTCCTGGTGTTGGAATAAAACTTGCTGGAACTTTGACTGTGATCCTTTCACTCCAGCATTTTCAGCATACTCAGATGACACTCTGCTAATGTTGAAAAATGTCATGTGCTTTGTTTTACTTACATGAGAGCAGCTTCTCTTTCTGCAACTGGTGCAGGCTGATTGCCCTCCAAGGCCTCTCTCTGTAGTTCCTCCCATCAGACAGATTATATTTGGGCCTTATGGGATTGATACTCACTGCCTTGAGACTCTGAGTTTCCAGGGGCTGAGATGGAATTGGGAGAAACAACATTCATTAGTTATTCTCTGGTGAAAAGTGTTAAGAATTTAGAACAAATTTAATTTTATTTCTCCCCATCCCCCAGCTAATTGAGGTACAATAGACACTTAAAAACTGTATACATTTAAGGTATACAATGTGATATTTTGATATCCATTTACATTGTGAAATGATTATCACAATCAAACTAATTAGATATCCATCACTTCACATAGTTACTTTTTTTTTGTGGTGAGAACACTTGAAATCTATTCTCAGCAAATTTCATGTATACAATACATTTCATGCATACAATATTAACTGTAGTCACCAGGCTGTACATTAGGCATTCAGAACTTACTGATCATGTAACTGCAGTTCACCCTGATCCTACCTCTCATAACTACTGCTCTACTCTGTTACTATGAGTTTGACTTTTTTTTTTTTTTTTTAGATTCAATGTATTCCTGACATCATGCAGTGCTTGTCTTCCCATGTCCAGCTTATTTCACTGAGCATAATGTCTTCCAGTTTCATTCATGTTGTCACAAATGGCAGGGTTTTCTTCTTTCTAAAATCTGAATAATATTCCATGGTAGATTGTTTATATACAAAATAGGTCTTCAGAACTGTATTATACAACACATTTTCTTTATCCATTCATTTCTAGATGGACACTTAGGTTGTTTTCATTTCTTGGCTATTGTGAATAATGCTGTAATAGATATAGGAGTATAAATATCTTTGTGAAATAGTGGTTTTATTTCCTTTAAGTATATACCCAGAAGTAGGATAGATGGGTTATATGGTAGTTCTAGTTTTAATTTTTTGAGGAACCTCTGTACTGTTTTCCATAATGGCTATACCGTTTTACATTCTACCAATTGCTACCAGGATTCCCTTTTATCTACATCCTCGACAACACTTGTTATCTTTTGATTTTTAAAAATAATATCCATTCTGACCGGTGTGAGGTGATATCTCATTGTGGTTTTCATTTGTACTTCCCTGGTGATTAGTGATGTGGAGCATCCTCTCATATACCTGTTGGCCATTTGTATATCCTCTTTGAAGACAATGTTTTTTGCTACTGAGTTATGTGAGTGCCTTTTATATTTTGGATAGGTAGTTAAATCAAGAGGGTGGAGCCCTCATGAATGGGATCAGGGTCCTTATATAAAGAGAGTCCAGACAGTTTCCTTATCCTTAACACCTTGTCAGGATGCAGAAAGAAGAGGGCTGTTTATGCACCATGAAGCGGGCCCTCACCTGG